TTAGAAAGATTCTCTTTAACTTTAAACTGATGCAGTTCACAAGTTTGACTAACTTGGTGATCTTGTTAAAACCAGCATTCCTTAAGAAGACTCCATTTCCTCCTCCACTGCTTACACTTTGCAGAATGGGATTTGCCTTCCTGCTTTTGCTCAGACTTCTTCTGCAGGTTTTGGGCTTGCCCTGTTCTGCAGCTGGCAGAGGGAAGGGATCAGATTTGTTTTGTAGCTGCTCTGTGTGTGACTCCAGAGAGTTGCTGATCACAATCAGGGGCCAGAGACAGTCCTGTGTCACCCACCAGGATGGCAGTGCCATTCTGAAGGACAGAAGTGATACTTCTGATAGCCACACTGGAGCTTTTGTTTGGTGTTCTCCTCCCATTCTTTGGAACTTTTGGCTTTAGTTTTTATAATTGGCCAAAAAAAGGAAATGCAATTTTAACCATCCATAGGCTGCACTCAGTGCTGTGGTTGCTGCGCATGAGCTGATGTTTGTGTGTGGATGAGCCCTTGTGGGGTGTGATCCAGCCTGGAGAAGCACTGTGCACCCTTTAGGAGGAAGCAGGTATAGCCAGATGTTTTCATTTCTCGCACCACACCCGAGTACAAGACAGTGTGTGTAACACTTGGCAGTGTTGGCATTTGCTGTGGTCAGGTGATGTTTTCCTGAGGGAACATCCATGGAAAGTCTTACCCAGCAACTTGAGGAGTGTCTGCAGTGTTCTCTGAGGTCTGGGGCATTGGGTGCTGTGTTTGTCTGGGTGGAGAGCTTCCTTTTGTGTGGTTTCCTCTGCCACTTCCAAAACTCGTGTCCCTGACTGTGAAAAACCCTTCTGAGAGACTCAGTTTTTATAGTGCACCTTGTAAAAATAAATGTATCAACATGGCATTGCTAGGACTCAAAAATTAGTAATTGTTACTTTTTTAGTCCAGCAATACTTGAAGGCTATGTTTTTTCTTTAAGCAAAAAAGTTATTTTCAGGTACTCATGAATGAATGTAAAAGGAGTGTGTTTGCTAAAGTTTTCATGCTTTCAGAATTGTTCTTTAAGGACTGAACTGACTAAATATTAACCAAGTTCTTAGTTAACTTCAAATACTAATTATTTATTTCACAGTGAAATGCTTGTCTCCAGAGAGGCACAGGACCTCTCTGTTGGGTGCACAGGCAGGGGATCAGACCCTGCTCTGCAGTTTGGGTCATTGAGCAGACCTGGGATGTGGGATTCCACCCATTGGTGGGTGCAGAAGCTCCTCTGAGTGTGGGATGCACAGAAAGGCTGAGCAGCATTCGAGGGGCTGCAGATGGGACTCCTGACACGTGGATCAGGAGTGGGATGTGGCATCTCTGCCACAGCATTTCAAACTGGCTGTGCTCATACCAAGGAGCAGCTGGAATAATAGGGAAATGTGATATCTGAGCATGGTTAGCTCCACGTTGTGCAGTTCATGCTTAAAAGCAGATTGCATTAAATATTCTGTGGATGGTGTTGGTTTTGTGTTTGCCCTCAAGTGAATTAACCTAGACAGCCACACTAAAATCACAGTCTTGATTCTGCCACTGATGGGCCTTCACATGTTTGTTGGAAATGGAACTTATTTTCAGTTACATGCTGTAAAAGTGGGTCTGTTGAAAGGGCTGGAGTGCTCTTCAGATTGCCTGTTCCTCTAATGCCTCTTGTAATGTCTGTTTTCTGCTTCCTGCTGCAGTTCAGCCCCTGCTAGCTGTAATTAGCAAATCACTAAATTCTTCGTTGCCAGATTTTTTTGCTGCTGTAGCAGTGGCAGATCAAGTTCCTTACAGGGCCAAATCCAGTGTGAAAGACCATCTCGGTTCTTGATGACTGGTGATTTCTTTTTCTCCCATTCTCAGCACATTATTTTTCTTTTGCTGTTGCAATATATCTGCATTTTCCTATGTGCAAGACCCAAGCACACTTGCTGCCTCAGCCATAAGAGCATGTGGAGCTCTCCTGATGCTGCAGAAGTAGCTGGCAGTGAGCAGTGGTGGCCCCAGGGTGGCCAGGCTGGCTGTGGTGAGTTACTGGATGCTTGGAAGTCCTGGTGGACCTATGTCCATGTGGTGTGAACACCATCACATCCAGGAGCTACTGGGGCTTGCTCTGTGCAGCCTGGGCCTTGGCTCCTTGCCCCAGGCAGGAAAAACAATGGGAGGCCACAGGAGATTGTTGTAAATCTAATCCCTGAGCCCCAAGCTGGTTCTCTGAGCTCTTCACCTTCAGGGCCAGGAGCCTCTCCCTGGCCCAGGGGTAACCTGCTCTGCCCTGGTGCAAGGGACTGCAGCTTCTCACCCTTCCAAAAGCAGGTTCCAGTAAGGGAACTGATTCTTTAGGTGAAGAGGGAAGCTGTGGTTGGAGATACTTTGTTGTTTTGGAGGATTGGGCTATTTCTCTGCAAAAATAAAGGAAATGGGTCCACTCACTCAGGGGAGAGGGAAATGGAGCAATTCTCAGTTCCTCATACTTGCACGTGTTGCCTCAATCCCAGCTCATGGCTGCTGGGTTACAGCAGCTGGTTATGGGCCCCAGCTCAGGGTCAGGCCAGGGCCAGGGATGGGTTCAACACCCCTGAGCCCCTTCCCCCACCTCCCCCTGCCCCAGCAGCTGCCGTGGCACAATCTGGGGCACTGGGCACCTCTCACCCTTCACTTTGGTGCTGCTGGGCCATTGGTCCATGGCCTGTTTGCTCAGGGGTGCTGAGGGCTGCTGGGCACATGGGTGGGCTCTGGGACCCCCCTCTTCAGAGCTGGGGTGCTGTGGGACGTGACAAGGGGAAATGAAGCCTGCCTTGCCTTGGGACAGAAGCCAGGGATCAGCACCCTGCTCTCATGGGGGAGGCATCAAAGGATATTTATTTATGCATCACCCTGTGTGGTGTAATGCCCTGGCCCTGGGGTGGATAAGGATGCCCTGATCAGGCCTGTGAGGCTGTGCTGCACAAACCAGGCTCAGAACAGTCTGTGCCCACAGCATCCCATGGCAGGGGCAAAGCTGGGCACTTTGATGCTCATACTTTTTGCTGGGGGGTGTTGTCATGCTTCAGGTCCCCACAGGCTCTTGGGTCATGGCATATTTGGCAGCACATGAGAGCTGGGAAAGTGGGTTTTGGCCTGAATCTTCAGGCAGTGCCCTGCTGCTTGTGACGCACTCCAGCGAGTCCCCAGGCACGTTCCTGGGCACACAGTGCTCCTGAGCCCCAGGGCTCACAGCTCCAGGCTCCTGCTTGCTGCTCCCCAGCTCTGAGGAGCTCTTGACAGGCACCAATTTCCCCTCCCATGTTAAACTGCACATTTAGGTTTGAAGGAAGCACCTCCCTGGAGCTACAGACCTGAGCACAGCAACAGCTCCTGGGGTGAGAGAGGCAGGGAGTGCTTGAGAAATCCCACAGAAACCCCCATTCCCTGCCTGCAGGCTGGCAGCTGACCCATGGGGCAGCCAGTGACTGCGGGGGAGCAGGAGCCATGAAAGGAGAAGTAGCTCTACATCCGTCTGGAAAACCCTTGAGAAAAGTTTGCTGCTGGGTATAGTGAGTAATTGGTATTAACTGGGAAACGGGGAGTGGGTAAATTGGGTCAAAATGGACCTTATTGGAATTGCAATGTTTTATTTAAGAACTATTAGTTCTAGGGTACTAGTGTTGCAAAAGAGTAGAAAACACCTCATTGTAAATATTAAAAATACATAAACATTTCCAAGGCAGGATTTTCCTTCCCAGGTTTTGACTTTGACTAGGTTGTACTAAAAAGCTGGAATTCCCTGCAGAGAAAAGTGACAGCTCTCTGCTGACCGTGGGTCAGCCATTGTGTCTGGCCCCTGGCTGAGCCCATGTCCTACTGCTGCCCAAACACTTCCCCTACTGAGTGGAAATTCCAGATGAATTTGGAAAGTGGATGTTATGCTAAAACTGCCTTTTGATCCCAAATGCCACCTGGGCTGACCTCCATCCAGCACCAGGAGAGTTGTGGCACCGGGCCACTATCTGCAGCCAGGGACAGCCACCACCCTGCCCGGCTGGCAACACCCAGGGTCAAATTCCTACAGGCACCTGTCACTTGCAGGGCCACCAGCAATGACCTGAGCACACAATTAGTTCTCTTTATGCATTTCCTCTCTGTCTGGGCCGGGAACCGGGAAGGCAATGTTTCCAGGAGCTATGGAAACACCTGGCTGGCCGTGGGAATGTCCAGCCCCGGGTGCTGCTGTCCTTGTCACCCTGCAGACATGAGAACAGGGACTGTCTGGTCCACTGTGGGCAGGGGTGACCAGAGTAATGAAGAAGCAAAAGCTGATCAACCTGGGAGCGTGCTGGGGCTGGGAAAGGCCAGAGCTCTTTCTGTGCCCCTGCTGCGGGCAGGCACGGTGGTGGCACTGGAAAGGCCATGGCAGCAGAGATGGAGGGGACCTGGAAAGGCTGTCCCGGGATACAGAGGAACCTGGCTGGGGCTGTTCCAGCAGGAATGGGAAAGGCTGTGAGGGAGTGACGGATGTGAGCAGGCAAGGACAGGGAAATGCTGTTCTGGAGAGAAGAGGGGACTGACAGAGGCTGCCCGGGGGAGATAGAGCCAACTGAGCAAGACCATCCTGTGGGTAATGGGGTTTCCATTCTGGTGAGGGCGGAGGGGCTGCCAGAGGCGGTGCTGGGGGCATTGCGGCGCCATCAGCGCCATCCCGGGCACTGAGGGCTCGGGGCGCACTCCGGGGGCCGCCCCGCCACCGCCCCCTGCCGGCGGCCCCGCCCACCGCCGTAAATGGGCGGGGCGTGCGCTGATCCGCGCGCTCGGCCCCGCCCCCTGAGCGCCGATTGGGCGGGCGGCGCGCGGCGGGAGGGGGCGTGGCGGCGCGGGCACGGCGGCGGGGAGGCGCGGCCGCCATCTTGTGCGCCGGCGGAGCCCTGCGAGCCGCCCCAGCGCGGCCGCCCGACCCGCGCCGCTCCCGCCGCAGCCTGGGCCGCCGGCTCCGCCCGGGGCGGCGGCGAACGGCGGAGGGAGGGCAGGGGAAAAGCTCGGTGCGGACCGGGGCCCCCCGCGGGCCCGGCGGCGGCCCCTCCTCCCGCCGCTCCGCGCGTCCCTCCCCGCGGGTTTGTGGCGCTGTGCCGGGGGAGGATGAACGGAGGATAAATGGTGCCCAAGGCGGACAGCGGCACCTTCCTCCTCCTCTTCCTCCTGGTGCTGAGCATCACCGAGCCGCTGCGGCCAGGTAGGGGCGGCGGCGGGGCCGGGGGTGCCGGGCCCGGGCACACGGCAGGGAGAGCCCCGGGGTCAGCCCGGACCGGGGGCCGGAGCGGCCGGAGCCGGGTCAGGGCTGTGCCGCTGCTTTATGCCTTTGAACAGAGCCGGGACGCTGCCGAGCATCGGTCCCTTGTGCCGACTGCCGGGATCCGAGAGAGCCTGGATTTACCCTGGGAGTCGGGGTAAAACCTTGGTGTCAAAGTGTGAAATCTTGGCTAGAAATCTGCAGAACCCTGCGGGTAATGAGCGCAGAAAATGTGGTGCCGAAGTTTTCAGGTGCTTGTTGCTTACCTCTTCCTATGTTGTGGGCCTTGGATGCCTACACGGCCAGACAAAATGCTTGCTTTCGAAGTGCCATTTAATCCTGCCAGGAAGAGAGAAAAAAACCCTGCCGCACCTGGTCCGTCTGTCTGGTTCTGTTTGTGCTTCTTTTAGGGAGATAATTCAGCGATGGAGTTTGTGTGCTAGCTGCTAGGCACGGTGCTTAAAATCCTAAGGTGATTAACTTAGGAGAAGTGGTTGGTGTTTGCGGGGAGAAAACTACAGTTTTTCTAGGTATATCGCTCAGCTGGAGTTTGTTTCTGGGTGTTGAACTCTCTTGGAGCTTGGCAAAGCCCTCGGCTATCATGGGCAGCTCTTGCCAAACAGCATCCGTAGCAAAAGCATGAGAGTGGCTTTGCAGGTTTGGGAATCGCCCTCCCATCGCACCAGGGGACTGTTCCTGGGTGATACGTGCTCCTCATAAATAGGAGAGTAAGAATCATGGTGTTCTTTGAAACCCCCTTGTTCTGTCTCTTTGAAATAACTTTCATGACCCAGACTAATAAAACGTAACAGTATTAATGAACTGCGTCTAAGCGAGTTCCCAGCAGAGCTGAAACACAATTGGGTCAGTGTAGGCAGAGTTATTGAAATAACTAACTTGGGTGTTGAAACGTCTCTGTGTCTGCATTGTTTTGTTTTAGCTTGTTTTTTTGGCTGTGCAGTATGTACAGGGCTTATGATATGCACTTAAGTAGCCAAAAAGCCCCCGTTGTGCTGGTAGCCTAGTATTATTACAGCTAGAGAGAGGCTTTTATGGCTGAGAAGGTACTATGTAAAACTGATTTCAGGCAGCTCCTTTTTGCTGGTACTAAGTGCTACAGGCTGCTGCATTGCTGGGTGAAAAGGTTCAGCTTATTCAGAGCTGTCTTTGTGCTTTTATAGGTGGGTAGACTTGACCCTGAACTCTGCTGGTGTTGAGCTTTGTAGCCTTCTAGAAATTCAAAAATGGCCTTTTTCATATTGTGTCACATTTGTCATTCCAGTTTGATAATGTACCTCTGTCAACAGCTGATGCTTGATGGATGAACACAAGTTTTTCACTTAGATTTACTTTGTTAAGATGAATGATATTTTCCCTGGTGCTGTACCTGTAATGTGCCTGCTTTAGAGATTTGTGGTGCTATAGCCTCACTGGCAGAAGTGTCCTTGTGAGCAAACCTTTACTAATCTACTCAGGTTCTACACCACTGGCTTTGAAACTTGGAGTGTTAGAATTCCCCTGTGGCAGCTCCATAAGCATTCCATGAATTTAGCTCAAACCATATGTATTCCTGAGCCCAAGGTGATGCATCTGGATGTGGTGTTGCAGCTGGAATTCTTTGCTGTGTGAGGAGTTTGAGTTCCATGTGGAATAGACTCATCCATCCTGTTTACGTGGTGGCTGAGCTGTCCATGGTGATGCCTCTCCCTCCTCCTCAGAGCAGAGTCCATCGCTTCTGGGTGGCCTCACAGCTCTCTGCCGATGTCACCTGGCTTGTTTGGTTTGCATAATTTATATCTTGAATCTGCTGTCTCAAACAAATCACCCATTTGATAGATTAGGAGCACATGGTTTGATCCTGAAGCATGAGGTGCAAGTAGGGAAAACCTGGCTCACACAAGTACAGAGGACACACAGAACCAAATTTACCACTTTAATCACTGGTGAAGAAGTCTCCCATGTCTACTCTGGGGAGAGACAGCAGAAAGAGTTCTTGGACTTAGAATTTATTTCCCAGGTGGTGTTTGCTTTCCTTTTTACTTCTTTAAACCTGTGTGTTGTAGGAACTGTCTTTTTGGTTTAGGAAGGACGCCTGCAGCTTGCTTAGCTTAAATCTGTACTTGGAACTATCAGATGAGTGCTGCAGAGCCCTGGGAGGTTTTATGTACTCAGAGATGAATGTGTAGTCCCTTCACAATTCAGTCCCGGCAGATCAGGCATCTCTTTGTATTTCCATGTTAATTTGACACTAGCTTTGTATCCATGTTCTTGCTGTGCTCTTCAGATAAATAAAACCTTCTTTTAAGCCTCCTCCACTGTAGTATCTTTTCATGCAATCTGAAAGGCAGTGATTTTACATGGATCTATTTTTTTCTGCATTTAGGGTGAGGTGGGCTTTAGTAAATTAGGAAGAAATTAATTAAAATTTACTTTTTTCCTCAGTTTTTTTCTCTCTTGGTTACATGAGCCTGTTTTGTGCTACTGCCATCACTAACAGCACAAGGTACTTCCAACATATCATGATAGTGGCCCCAGCTGTGCAGCCTTGGGTTCCTGAAGGACTGTGGGCAGTTGGATTTTTCTGAACCTGTGAACTTGTAATGGTAATTTTAAGCCCTTGAGAACTGCCACTTGGGTTTTTTTTTCCCAGTGTTCCCATCTTTCCCGTTTAGTTTTGACCATATCCTTCTTGGTTTGACTAGTTGCTTGCTTTATAGTACATTATTGAAAGCGTTCTTTTTTTTCAAATTAGGGCATTTCTCCTTGAGTTGTGTTACTCACTGGTTTTGAATCTGCTAATGTGAATTGAAGCTGAATGTATCAAACTCTTCCAACTATATGGGTGTAGAGTGAAAGACTAACTTATTGTTTCCTTTAAACACTTGCTGATTTTACTCTATCTGCTGCTTTTTGGGGATATTTACCATAGTAGGGTTTAATTTAATAAAATCTTTTCCAGGACAACTCAAACCCATCTGCTCCAGGTTATCTGACTAGCTGGCTGAGATAGCTGATGTCTTTGTGTGAGGAAATATTTCAGTGGTGTGTTAACTGAGTTGCAGTAATCTGTTCTGGTGCTATCTTAGATTTTGCCCGAGTTTCTGAACCAGTGCATTTCTGTTGGTTGTTGGAAGAGCATCAGAGGTGTAAGTTATTATAAATTCAGTCTTTCACAGTTTGAGAATATTTATAAGTTTCTTTTTCTGTTAACACCCCAGTGCATCCCACTGAGAAGAGGAGATTTTGGTGTCTTTCTGTAGTGTTGGGAGCTTAAGCAGTCTGGAATGACCACGCTGACATGTTTCAGAATACTATTTAGAGGATTAATTAAGATCATCATCACTAAAGACAATAACATGTTTTCATATTTCTCTAACAAGATACTGCTGCTTGCTAATGGAAAACACTTAAACATGGTCAGGCTTTATATTGGATTTTGTAATAGTGGTTTAGTACAGAGCCTTGTGAATGTAGGTCATCGGGCTTTCTTATTAGAGCATTTGCCAGGCAGCTAAAAGCCAATTGAGTTCTTGTTCTTGCAGCGTTTCTTCTCCACTTCAAAGCCAGCTAGAGGAAGTAATTTTATTACCCAAGTTCTGTTTCAAAAAAATATTGCACAACGTACTTAATCTGCAATGCTTAGAAAGACTTGCCAGTGCAAGTGGTCTGGTTAAAAGCCCACATCCAGCTCCCAGCTGGAACTTCCCATAGGCTCTGGAGCTTGCTGGCAGCTGTGGTTGTGCTCTTACAGGTGAGGTGTTGGTGTTTTGACACAATACAACTGACAAATGTGCTCAAATTGCTAACTCTTCCTTGTCTTTCAGTCAAGGGCTGTTGGTCTTGCATGCAAGGCAGAATTCATCAGAGTAGAGGTCTAAGCAAACCCACGATCAGCACAGTTTCAAGGTGATCCACTGGTGTGCTGTGACTGGATGGGTCTGGTTTTGTCCAGTTGAACTGTATTGATTAATTCAAATGGAGACCCAAATATATGAGTCATAAAATTTACTCTGGCCATTGTTCCTCTGCTCTGGAGACACTTTGTTGGTAGGCAAACATGAGCCCTTATTTTGCTCTTTGTTCACTGTCTTCATGTCAGTGAGAGCTGTGGTGAGTGATATTTATTCAGGTTCATGTCGTTGCTAGCTGCAGTTCCTGTCTGTGTATTTAGGTGAATTCCCAAGAGGAAGGTTCTAGGAGTGAGGGGTAGAAGGGTTTTTATCAGGTCCTCTTCCAGTCTGGTGTATTTCCCCCTCATCCCTTTGCTTCTTAATCTACTGGTTTTAAGTTTTATTCTTCTTCCTACTGTTATCTATTATTGAGTTTTGTTCTGATGTTCCTTGCTCTGCTGTTTGTTGTTTTTACAGCTGCAGAGCGAGGCTGACGGATGCAAAAAATCTTTTTTGTGGCTGATCTCGGTGTAGCAGAGAGACAAAGCAGAAGGTATCAGACCTTATTAGCAGGTCTGATACTTTAAGACTGGTAATTCCTGATGTTAATTATAAAGCAAAATTTTTGAGGTGCAAGTGGATTTGCTGCTAGCTGTGGCTACAAAGCAAAGGAGAAAAAAGGAGTCAGTAGGCAGGGCTGTTTGCATTGCTTTGGCTCTGAGAAGTGATAAACCAGAGGGGCACCTTGGGGGTTTGCAGACACATGACTCCTGTGTCCTACAGTAGGTCTGGGGGCAGGGGAAGGTTGCTCCAGAAGAACAGAAGTGATGGAGGATAAAGCACTGTCACAGCCTCTCTCTGCAGCAGGAGAGAGCAGCTGTGCTTCTTTCTTGGTATGTGAGGGGAAAGGCACAGCTAGACTGAAGAGAGGAATTTTAGATACCAAGTATGAAAGATGTAAAATCCCCTGGTGAATGTCAGAAAACCAGAAACCAGTCAAGACTTCAATGAATCATTCTGTCCCCTGGCATTACCTTTGTTAGGGCTGGTGTT